TAATGGCTAATGGAATAATGTCCAGAAAAGACGAGAGAGAGAGAGAGGGATTGTGCCAGAGAGGGGAGGTCGAGTCAAGTCCATTCTATCCGTTACCACCGATTGGTAGGAGCATTGTCATCCGGTAACTCCTCCTTTCCTCCCACCTCTACTACTGACCACATAGGCATTCATTCATTCATTCATTTCAAGCCAATTTAATATCCTAGGCTGTGTACCTTTGAATAAATAAAATTTCAAACTTATCATTGAATAATGAAGAATTTTGTCATTTCTTTCTTTCTTTTTTTTTTTTTCTAAAATTTGTGATAAATACTGATTGGATGAAAAATTTTTGGAAAATTATTTTTTATTATCTTCTTCTTAACTTCTTTCATCAATTATGAACTTATTATTCTATTTATGCTAACAATTGTGAGGCAAAAATTTCATTTTCATTTTTGATCATTAAATTTCTCAATTCATTTATATTTTCTAAAATTCATTCATTTCAGAATTTTTGCCTTCCATCTAGCAATTTTATCATCTCGAAATTACCATCAATAGCAATTTTCACATACATGAAGATCTTTCACTATATTTTGGTAAAATATAAAACGGGAAGGAAGATGTGCATACAGTTAAAACATTTTTTATAAAATCGGTCGATTACCTTAGACTGCTCTTTTTTTTTTGGCTAATCTAAGCTACAATTGCTTACACATTTTTCGAACTAATTTCATATTGAATTTCAAGCCTATTATTTTGTTTATTAGTCTTCTTTCCTTGTATACATACGGTTTACTGTAACTTACTCTGTTTTTTTTTTTTGTAACCTTATTCAATTACAACAATTCATAAATCTATCGCTAACTTCTTCCTCTTCAAAATTCACCATTTTTTTTTTGTTTAATTTCTTATTCCATTTTATTTATTGGTCACGTTAAAAGTCAAATTAATGATTTATTATAAAAGATGAATACGATTCAATTTATTATATCATTCTAATAGCAATTTCTTTTTGGATTTCTTCATTTCATATTCAAATTCTAAAAATAACTGACAGTATTATACACTAATATCTCTTCATTTTCCCCC